GGATAACCAAACTGCTTCCAGAGTCAGTGGCAGTTCTGTGAAAACCATGGCCTGGTTGGCAGTTGAGCTGACCTCTATTGCAGGTCATGGGTGCAGTGGTGGTGGTGGGTGCCGGTCCTCTCGGAGCGTGCCTTCCCTCAGGATCAAACGTTTCCACTCCCGACCCCCAGCTCTGACCCATGGCACTGCCCGGGGAGCCAGCCCCAGCCCCAGCCCTAGCCCAGCCCTGCGCTGTCCCGCCAGCGCCGGGGCCGGTGGTAGCCCTGGGCCAGCCCGAGTAGCTGGGACCTGCGGGGATACTGGGACCTACGGGGATACTGGGACCTACGGAGATACTGGGACCTGCGGGGATGCCAGGACCTGCGGAGGTGCCGAGACCTGAGGAGGTGCCGGGACGTGCGGGGATGCCAGACTTGCTTTCATCTCTAGATGGTGCTCTGAGTCCGGGCAATGGTCGGGCTCCTCCCGTTTGCGCCGTGCCACGCAGCCTCCCTGTGCTGAGTCGTGCCAGTGGGAACACACTGGGGCTGGGGAGGGCAGGACCCCCACCCTGCTGACCATGGCAGGAGAAGAAACCTGGGTAGCCCCTCTAAGAACTGGCTACCATCTCAGCTCCTCCTGATGTGGCAAACCCTGGTCATGGGATATCGTGCCACGGGTGACAGGCTGCCACCCTTGCCTCCCCATCCCTCTGCTGTCCCCCTTTACCTGCCCCAGCAGGGCTGCTCCGGCTGGCCCTACGCTGGCCCATGCTTTCAAGCATCCCACCAGGCTGCCTTTCCTCCTCTGCCCCTTCTGTGCAGCCAGTGATAGCCCGTCCCAGCTCTGCGGCTTTAGCAGAATGCCGGTGCCTGCAGGGTTTTCCAATAGTGGTGATCCATTAGGGCCCGGCTCTGCTCTTAACCACGGGCAATGGCAAAAGTTCCATTGACTTCGCAGGGGCAAGAGCAAGCCCTTAATGGCCTGGGAAGGTAAGGGTTTTTTTTCTGTTGTGGTTTTTTTTTGGTGACATGTAAAACCATGGCCACTTATTATTGCCTGTGTGAAAGCTGAGAGAGACCTCAGGCCCTCCTGCAAAGGCAAAGATGGGCTGCTAAAGCTTGGAGTGAGCAGAAGAGGCATTTGCCATGCAGAGGTCATGAGCCTGCATCCAGCTGCTGGGGCAGCGGTGTGCCCTGCTCTGCTCCTGGGCAAAACCTGGACAAAACTGAGCTGGGTTGGAAAGGAATGCATTCAGGCAGCAGCAGAGACATTTTCAACACTATGTCCTGATCACAGAAATCCAAACCCATTTTCTCCCCATTTGAGATTATTGTTGTGTTTCTTGAAAATATTTTTAGTTGCAATGTTTATCATCAAAACGTTTTGCTGAGCAAGTTTTGGGTGACTTGAAAGGTGCCAATGAAGTTTTTTTTGGGTGACTTGAAAGGTGCCAATGACAGTTTCTTTTCAAAAGGCTTGTCCAAAAGTGTCACCAAAAATAAAACATGAAACAAGTTTCTCAAATGTCATTTAAAACAACAACAACATTCATCTGAAAGCTGGGAATAGTGACAGCAGCGTAGTTAGTTGTCATGGGGCAGAGGATCTGAACAAATGCCTGGATATTATTCATAGGGAAAAAGCCCTTCCTCTCCCCATTATCTTTCTGGTGTTTGAATAGTTTTCAATAACGAGCCAAGGAAATCGTTCAGAAGTAAGACAGGAAAAAGATATAGGTGGTGGGCAGAAAAACAAAGCAGCAGTGTCTTCCTCCTGAAAAGCAAGTTGCCAGCTCCTCGGGATTAAGGGCAGGTTTTGGCGAAGCAGTTCCTCTATCAGATCCTGGAGGAGGGAGAGAGCCTGGGGACGTCGTGCCCTGGTGTGCGATAGAGATGTCTTCTCTGGAGAGCACAGGACAAGAAAGTGTCATCTACCTGAAAGATGATGCTCCACATATCATATGCAAAAGCCAAAATATCAGGTGTGTTTACAGTTGTGAACCACTTAGATTTGCAGATTCCTTGAACATGTCCAGTCTTCTATATAGCAAACAGCCTCCCAAGATGGATTTTCCTGGTGCCATTTCATGGGCTGCGTAAAGGAATCCCCAGCCAAAGCTGGACGGGTGCTTGTTGAGATGGATGTTGCTGTTGCATGGCGTTTGTGGGCATGTTGTTGGGTGTTTATGGAATGAAGTTGTGGCATAGGATGGGTTATGCTAGCACGTGTGGCATATGCATGTGGGTACGTGCAGTGTGTATTTGGGCACAAGTACTTTGTGATTCAAGCATGCAGGTGCAGAAGTACCTGTGCAGAAGGATGTGTGCACCACTGCGTATAAGCAAAGCCTGTGGGCATGTCTGCAGCTTGCAGAGGCAGAAGAGCACTTTTTACTGGGAGGAGTGACCACATTGTGCCACTGGATGGGCTATGTGTGCCCAAGGAGCGTGCCATTTTGGCAACATAAGCACAGCTGCAGGAGGAGCGCCTGATGGACAGAGGTTTACCCATCACCTCAGTTCTCCCGTGCTCTGGCTGTTCCTCTCCTTCCCTCTGCCCCCTCCCCTCCACCCCCTTCTCACCCTTGCATCCTCCTCAGCTCTGTCCCCTCTCTAACTATGTGACAGTGTTGCCAGCTTTCTCCCAGTTTTATTGTGAACAGCAGGGGTTTAGCTGAGTTTTCCTCAACACCTCAGTGTCTTCTCCACTGTGATGCCAAATATGACATGAAAAGGGACAGCAGGTTCAAACATACAGAGGGAGGTGGGATCCCAATGTGGCTGAGTGATGCTTGTTCCCTTAACATCATTGCAACCTTTTCTCATTTTTCTCCCAAGTGTCACATCATCTGAAGCAAGGGGTGGCAATGCTGGCCTGTGTGCCACCTCCATTGCCTCGTCTGTGCATGCCCATGCCCCCAGCGCATCTCAGCTGCCCCATCCTTGCCTGGGCTCCCTGGGCCCGCACTCCTTGGAGATGAGCCTCCCAAGAGCTAACAATCTGTGGGCACTTCATCCCCACCAAGCGCTGCCAGTGCCTTCAAAGGATGCTGTACCTCGGCAGGGGTTCCCCTTCTGGAGGCTGCCACCCCAGTCTGTGTCCTGGATGCCTGTGTCCTCGCACACAGAGTCCTTCTTTCTCGGTCCATTAGTTTGTTTCCACTGCCATGGCCAGTGGCAGGCACGTGGCTCTGAAAGCTGTGTTAAAAGCCAGGTCAATACCAGCCCTTGCTTTCCCTCTGGGGAAAATAAATAAATAATCAAAGGAGGGAGGGAGGGACTTCATTAATTAGCAACGGAGAGGAGAGGTGGGACAGGGACCCACGTGGTAAAATAAGGCTGTGTATCAAGTCATACATGGAAAAAGCCAGGAGGCATTAGGATCTGTGAGCTCCTGTCCCCACTCTGTGCCTGATGGGAGGAGAGGGAGGCATCAGGAGTGATGCCTTCCCTCTCCCCAGACCTCCTGATGCTCTGCTCTTCAGTTGTCACCTGTCTGCTCTTCTCTAATCCTCCCACCAACTGCTTGTCCCTTGCCAAAGGCGTCAGATCACTTCTTGAGTGCTGAGCAGATCCATGTAGGGCAGCTGTCCCCCCACCAGACCTGTGTGCCAGGACGAGAAATGGCCACGTCTGGGTCTAGACTTGTCTTGTTAGCCTATCTCCACTCTTTCTCAAATATACTCCCATATGACCTCACTTTCTCTTCTTTTTCCCTTTCTCCTCCTCCGCCTGCCTGCTGTGCCTGCTACTTCCTCTCACTCCTGCTATTTCCTTCCTTCCCCTTCTGCTTCCTCTTGCTTCCTGAACCAATTCCAAATTGATATCGAGATGCTGTTTCTCTGCTTTGTAGATCAGAAGTTGGGTGGGACATCACGTCTTCAGCCACTCCCCCACCATAGCACAACTGTTGGGTGCCCAGAGCAGCCTCCTGTGCTACCTGTTTGACCTTCTGTCCTCATATCATCTACAATTTTGAAGGGGTGATTCTGTTGCTCCTAAACGAAAAGGCTCATCAGGTTTTGGCGTCTTTTGTGAAATGACAGCAGAGTGATGTTGCAGGTCTAGCTCTGGCTGATGTCCTCCCTCGATTCCCCTAGTTCTTACTTGCCTCTAGCAAAAATAGAGGTTTGGGAATTTTTTTATAGCCTTACATCTAGAGCAGCATCTTGCATATCTCTGCTTCTTCATCAAGCACATCTATAACCTTTCCCTGGACAAAACTCATTACCTCCAAAGCAAGCAGGATTGTTTAACCCATCCTACTGGTAATTTTAATGCAAATGCTCCCCTCCATACATACATTTTGTATGACGTCCTCCCCGAGCAAATTCTCTGAGCCTCTTACTGTAGTTTTCACCAAGGAGGCCCAGAATAAGGGAACCCTTGCGGTGGAGCTTCCAGGCAACAACGCCACACCAACAGCAAACACCAGCACTGATAACGCTCATCAGTCTTTATATCAGGCTGCAGCCTTGGGGTCTGTCTTTTGCTTCCAAATCTCCCCCTGGGATATTAGACTTTATTAAAAATAAATAGTTACAATTTCAATTTTACAGCTGATGGCAGCAGGGAGAAGAACGGAGGAGGTGAAAGGAACAAGTCGAGGGTCTGCTGTCCAGTCAGGTCACTTGTCTGTCACCCCAGCCACACTGTGCCAGGGAGCAGTCTGAGTGCGCAAGCACAGGGCCCTGCCTCCTCTGCCAGCCATCTTGGGAGAGGAGCAGTACGTGTTTTTCAAGAAGACTGGGAGAACTGGGTCTGAGTCTGTGGAGCCGAGCTGCTTCTGGAGGTGACAGATGCCAAAAGTCAAGGAGAGTGCAGAGTAGGCTACGCAGAGCGTCCTTGTCTCCTAGCTTGGCATTTGCAGTGGAAGAATATGGATTTCAGTTCTCGTTCCGGTTTATATACACAGAAAGAGTCATGTGCAACAAGCAATAAACATGCAAGTAAACCCCTCCCTTGAGATCCTTCCCCGCTCCCTCCAGGAGTCCTAAACTTTCCCATCCATCCTCATCTGGTCAGTGGTTAGATACCGCTCCTCCCCTAGTGATAGTCATGACTCTTGACAGCCATGGGGCTTACCCACATCGAGATGAAACAGAAAGTCTGCTGTTTCCTCAGCAGCAGAAACACTTGCTGCAGGTCCTGGTCTGTCCTTGAGGGCACAGACTCCTGTCACCTCTCCAGAGATGAGAAAACGGGTGTGCTGCTGTCCTGTCTCTGGGCGGGAAAGGGATCCTAGCACAAGCTGCACGCACTGGAAGAGTAGTGTATCCTCACTCCTCTTCCAGGCATTATGACTCCATGGGAAAGGGAATATATCAGAGCAGCTCCAGGGCTTGATGTACTAAAGGTCTGAGAGGCAGTCACGGGAGGCATTTTTTGGTGGACAAGGGACTTATCCAGCTACGTACGGGTGCAGAATGGAGGAGGAGATGGTGGGTGACGGGTGTGGAATGGGGAGGCTGGAGGAGTTAGATGGCAGATTCCCTGCGGTATGACATTGTATCTAGGGGCAGAGTTGCCTGGAGCCGCTCCAGGTCCAGGTGGCTTCCAAAATCCATCATCTGGATGACACCTCCCTCTTCTTTAGTACTGCCTCCTAACACCACACCCACTTCGTCATCGTCTTCATCTTCGTCTTGACTGACAAGAGCCAGCTCGTTCTCGTAGCAGAAGGCACTGGGAGGTGGGGGAGAAGGTAGGATAGTCATCTTGCTTTCTTGCAGCTCCCGGGCTGAGCAGCAAGGCGTGCCAGCTACCTCGTAGGTCTTGTGAAAGCGCGAATAATCCACTTTGTAGTGGTTCTTCTCCTCAAACACAACTGGTTCAAAACGGTGACCCCAAAGGATTTCACTAGCGAGGTAAGAGCTTCGTGCCTGTGTGGTCATGGCTGTGGCTTCCACCATCCCCTCCAGGATAACAACAATCTCAAAGTTCTCTGTCTCCAGCTCTTCCTTGCCAATCCCATAGAGCGGGCTCTCCTCATCAATCTCATGAACGATGATAATGGGTGAGACCAAAAATATACGATCGAGGCCCACATCATAGCCCACATTGAGGTCCCGCTGGTCCAGGGGGAGGTATTCCCCTTCCTCTGTCATGTAGGGTTTGATGAGCTGGGCTCGGACATGGGCCTCCACAATGTGGCTCCTCCTCAGGTTACCCACTCGCCACATAAGGCACAGTTTGCCATCTCGCACAGAGATGACCGCATGGTGACTGAAGAGGAGTGTTTGGGCCCGCTTCTTGGGCCTCGCCATCTTGGCCATAATGGTGCCAATCATGAAGGAGTCAATAACGCAGCCCACGATGGACTGGACCACAACTGCCATAATGGCCAGTGGGCACTCCTCAGTCACGCAGCGGAAGCCATACCCAAGTCTCCACTGAGAAAAGAAAAGCCCCTAGGAAGCTGTTCACATGCATGATGCAAGGCTTGAAGAGAGAGGGACCGCCTCCCACTGCCGGTGCATTGAGGTCGCCGTGGAAGAAAGCGATGCACCAGAAGAGGAAGCCGAAGAAGAGCCAGGAGACCAGGAAGGCGGCGGAGAAGATCATAAGCATGTACCGCCAGCGCGTGTCCACACAGGTGGTGAAGATGTCGGCCATGTAGCGCTGAGACTTGTTGCTCAGGTTGGCAAAGTAGACGTTGCACTGGCCGTTCTTCTTCACAAAGCGGTTGCGGTGCTTCCGCCGGGGGGCATGGCCCTTCCCATTCCGGCTGTGTCCGTTCATGCTGCCCAGTGCAGAGACTTTGTGTCCATCCTCTTCGGTCGAGACGATGCTGTACCTGGAAGAGAAGAAACAAGCATTTCCAGCAGAAATATATGAAGAACAACAGCAACCACCAAGACAGCGAGGGTGGGAGACACGTGGGTGGCTCACAGGACGACGATACCGCAGTGTTGAATATTGAAACAGCACATTTCTCTGGTTATTGCACCACGGTGCCACCGGTGCCACCCTGAACAAATTGGTGGAGCTCAGCTGCAATATTTGCCGAGTCTTGCTGCCAAGAGGTTGTATCTAGCAAAGTCCTGACAGGGCAGCAAAGCAGGAGAAGCTTGGATTGCTACGCTTCCTTCCAGCCTTCGTGGAGAGGAGGGACCTAAGGCTTTGAAACCTGATGGCAGCTGGGACAGCTGGGAAGCCTGGGAGCAAGCACCTGCGGTCTGGCCAGATTTTGGCCCTGGCGTTATATAAGTTTCTATTTTCTCCTCTGCTCTCCGCACTGATTTCGTGGTGCATCGGTGACAATGTTTATAAGCTTCCTGTGTTCAGGACAATTCTGTTGCCACAGCAACATGTGTGGCTCCCAGCATCTCGCATCCGAAGCCAAAGGTGTAATTTGGAGATCAACAGTCGAAGTGCTGGCAGATTTCCCTGGGAGAAGCTTCACACACACTTTCTCAGAGACGTTTGCCCCTCCGGCTCTCCTCCCTCACAGGTGACACTGCTGCTGACCCTCATGTGCTGCTGGGGCTACAGTTGCAGGTACTCCTTAAGGACATGATGGCGGAAGATGCTCTGACCGTTGAGGAAATCAAATGAGTGCACAGACCCATCAAGACCACTTTGCCCTCATGACCACTGAACCTTGACTTCCTAGGACCTGTTGGGCTGGCAGTGCCTCCTTCCTACCCCATAGTGTTGACATCTCAGCTGGAGCCCTCCAGCAAGGGCTCCTCATCCTCCTCTCATGGGAAGAGGGAGCAGGGGAAGCACATGTGGCTGGAGTTGTGACTCCTGGGGACTCCTGGCGACAGGGGACTTATGCAGCACTGTTTGAATCTGTCATTTCTGGTCCAGCACCATGCAGTGCTTTGCTTCTCATCTGTAGCACTCCTCCTCTAAGCACTGCCCCCATGTATGGTGCGTGTTGGATTGGAGAAGGAGAGAGAAGTCATACCTTGGAGCAGTAAAGCCCCTGGGAGATAATTTGGGAAGAATATAACAAAACGCAAGCTGAAGGTAAGGCCAGATGAGTAGGACCAGGCCACCCTGGGCAGCAGCAGTCCTTGAGAAGAGGGGAAGGAAGTTACTCACCGGTTGACTCGGATGCTGCCCATGGCTCTCTGTATCATCAGGTGTCAGGGGGCCGTGGGAGCTGGGAGGGCGCAGGATCTCATGCAGCAGCACTCACATGGGACCGGGTGGCTCTGGGTTTCACCTCCGGTGAGCTGGGGCCCATGCTGCCATTGTGATTGCTCCTGGGCATGTGCCTTACAGAGAAGGATGAAGCAAAACCCAGTCAGAGCCTCCCTTGACAGCACCTGTCCCAGTCCCAGAGCAGGGGACACAGGGCTCCCAGCCTTTTGCTCAGGAGGAGTCTGGAGATGTCCGCAGGGAACCATGCCGCAGCTTGGCTCGCGCAGGTGGGGAGCTGATGGACGCAGCCCAGGGTTGTCTGGCTCTCAGCCCCTGCACTCCCTGGTATCTACTGCCAGGAAAGGTGCAGGGCTGGCTGGTCACCGCTCTCCAGATCAAGGGCACAACAGTTGAGCAGCTTGCAGGGCCCCTGCCCTGAGCCACTATATTAATATCATAGCTTACACTAGGACGAGAGCTCAGCCAGGCTAAATACCCCGCACACAAGGACTAACAAAGCACGGATGTGCACGGCAGCCCCCAGCAGCCCAGTCTGACCGAGTGGGGATTTATTTCCAGGGGATACAGAACATCCACCCTGTTTCAAAGAGGAGAAGAAAAGCAATGGGTAGAGCCAAAAAGGAGAATTGATGGAAAGGAAGGGCTGAGGGGTAGCTGAGGAGAAGCCAGTTAGAGCAAACAGACCTTGCGACGTGCCCTGTGTACAGCATCCAAGGAGCGGCTCAGCAGCAGAGCCCTGGGGAGGATGTCCTGGAGATGTTATGTCCCGACCTGGTCCTCCCTGAACTGAAAAATGTGGAAATTGAAGACTCAAGAGCCGACCTATCCCGCCTGCCCAGAGCTGCTGGGAAGTGAAATGCAGTGAGGGGGTAATGACTCACAGATTAGGAAGGGCTTTGTACACCCATGCTAATCCCGCACTGCAACCTTTGGATTACAGCAGCCAGCGCGGAGCACAGGACACAGACATAGCCAGCAAGTTCGCTTCCTCCCAGCCTCACCGGTGAGCAACAAGTGGTTGCCATATCTGGGAAAAGTCCAAGGATTTCTGGGCCAAATTGAAGGTTCAGAGCTGTTCTTGCAAGTGCTCATGCACAGACAGAAGAGAGGAACAGCAAGTGATATTGTCAGGGACAGAAAAACTGGTGAGAACCATTCTTGTCTCATCATCAGTGCTGCAGAACAGGGCTTCATGTGACTAAGGGTGACCACTAGCTTTCTCCAGTTAGGAGCATAGACTAGAAAGTACCAAGTAAGGATGTCCAGGCACCACCTCTGATGTGCAAGGCTGCCATTGTCATGTCTGGGATGAAGATTAACCAGCAGTCTTTCCTCCAGAGACCGAGGTTTCTGAGGTAGTTTAAGCCCTGTGGCAACACAAACATGTTGTTCAGGCCAGGGGTATTATGAGACCAGGAGAAGACAGCAACCTCGTGGTCCACGTCTCACGGTATGGAGGTAGAGGCAGAAGTGCTGCCCCAAAAGTCCCATCCGGAATAAGCACTTTGGCAGTGAACTCTGTCAGCACTCACCCCCTCACCACTCTACAGCACCCAAGCCTTTAAGGAAGGTTGGTTTGGCCAGATATGGGAAATTTTATTGTGCAGCTGGACAAACCTACAACAGAAACTGGGGTCAGTAACTCAAATTCACCAGAAATGTTGAGGGATGACCAGGTGGTGAAGAAACGTCATTTCATGTCCACAGATGGTCTGACTAGGATAAAACTAAGATGTATCTTCAGTGATTACATGGTGAGTTTGGACTGCAGAGTGCCACAAGTCTTTAGGAGGTGACAAGGGTGGGCAATTTAGGTATACCTCTCTATGTCAGCTCCAGCCAGGAGGGGAAGGACATCCTCTCCAACCAGTGTGTTCCTTAGCCAGCCTGGATAAGCCAAGCTCATCCTTAGCCAGCACTGACACTGATACTGAAGGAAAGGCACTGCCACAGCTCACCTATGGAGACTTCACAACTTCCTAAAGGTTTCTGACCACTACCACCACTCCCCCTTTCCCCACAGGTGCACAATTTCTAGAGACTTCGGATTTCTGGCACAGGGGGTGGTCAACTCCAAAAGAAGAGGAAGGAAGACCTAAGGAGCTTCTGCCCACTGGAACCATATCTAGCAGCACCCAGATCTCTGCTCTCACCTTCCCCAGCTCACTGAAAAGGGGCACAGGAAGCAGATGACATGCAAGTACCGCAAGGGCTGTGTTCATCTCTGATTCTGGCTGGAACAGCTAAGGGAAAGGATGGGCATCTCATGCTGCTGTGCTTCCTCCTGGCTCCTGCACACAGGAGGCTCAAGTCAGCCAGAGCTGTGGCACAGTCTCTTGGGCAGAGCTCACCACGGCTGGACCTTGCAGCTCAGAGCCTGGGAAGCGTTTGCTGCTGGCTCCACGGTGCCAGAACAGAGCAGCAGCAGCTAAAATTACATCACTACCTGCAATTGTACTTAATCGCAAGGAAAGTGTTTCTGTGAAGAATAAAGGCTAACAATTCAAACACACACACACACACGTGATGTGAGAGCAAATGGTTTTAGTATGGGTTGTAGTGGGAGACCAGTGGTCTCAGTCCATATGCTTACCCGTAGGACCCACAGAGAATTTAGTTCATAGCTCTTTTTCTGCTTCAACTTCAGAAATTTTGCCGGTAGATTTAAGGATCTCAGCAACAAAATGCAGGGACTCTGCTCCAGAGGCCAGTTGTCTGATGGACCAGTTTGCACCCGTGATTATCTCGTGGAGGTTCTGCAAAGCGAAGTCTATGTTGTGCTTCACAGCTCCCAGTTCCATCGTTTGGCCTGCTCTGAGATTTTCGTTCTCTGCCTTGGAGCTCTCCAGCTCTCTCTGGAGAATAAGGATCTCGTGCTTCAGCTTCTCCACGTTGCTTTCTGCCTCCAGAGCCCGCTGGGTCATTTCCTGGATACTCCACTCCGTCAGCTGGACAAAGGACTGTAGCTCCCAGGCTTCCCTCTGCTCTTTGGCCAGACTGGCCTTCAGCTGCCTCTCCAGGCTCTGCAGCGTGTACATCCGGCTCTCCAAGGAGCTCTGCATGCTCCTGATCAGCCTCTTGAGCATGGTGTTCTCCTCCCTGAGCTCGTCGTAGGTCAGCTGCAGGGATGGCAGCTTCCTGTCCCCAATGGCCTCCTCGTGCAGCATGTGGGGCTCTGTTCCCCTGGTGCCCTCTGGGTACCCCAAATAAGGGTCACTGGCATGAGCCCATGAGGCAAAAGCATCCATCCCCAAGTGCTTGCCCACGCTACACTGGAAAGGGACATAGGAGTCACACGGTGCCATACTGGCAGTTTGGAGAACACGTGACCTTTGATGTACAGGAGGGTGACAAGTCCAGCTGTGGTCCTCATCTTCAGATAAGCTGTCAGACACTTCTGTGTCTTTGTAAAGTGGTCCCTGAAACCCTTGAGCTTCTTCCTCAAGCTCCAGTGCATGCTCTGACAAATATTGCATGCTCAGGCACCTCTTGGCATATATTCTATTTTTCACTCTTTTGTCTTTGACCATGTAAGAGTGCGTAGGATTTAGGGAAAACGGGATGGGTTCCTCCAGATCCTTCATCTGACTCTCACCTGAGCTGTCATGGGTCTTGCACTGGGGTGGAGGATGTGCAGACTGGCAGGGGTAGCTGAATTTGTCACCATCGTCATAATCTTCCAAGTCTTGAGATACTGGGCAGACGGTCTCCATTGTCCCAGAAATGCCAAGCAGCCATGACATTTCTCAGGACCCTTTGGGCTGCGGCAAGTGGGAGGATCCAAATCACCTTCCTGGAGCTCAGGTCATGCAGGCAAGTGACACTGACAAGCAGCGTGCCAACTTCTACAGCCTCAGCAATGCTCGTGGGGGAAGATCACCAGGGTGTGTGGGAGGGAGTGGAGGGGAGAATGGGGCATCTCTGTGTCTTTGCTGTGGGTAGAACAGGAATCACTAAGGTCTATGATGTCATCGTGTGACTTCACTGCCTGCTGCGAGATCATGACCAGGGAGAGAGGAACCAATCAACTGCAAAAGTGCTTTTTGAGCAGTAAGATGATGATCTGAGCCTCCCATGGCCGCAGAGCTGACCCCAGCTGAGGGATGCTGCCAGCGGGCATTGAGACACTCATGAAGCTACCTGAGATCTCCGGTGTGCATTAGGGACAAAGACCAGCTGGCCCCAAGAAGGCAGCATGGGGCAGAGGGGACAACTGTGCCCCACGGGCTACCTCAGGTTAGCTGTGGGAGGGTGAGATGAGACCGAGAGATCTCCGGCAGCCAGATTTTTGGTATTTTGGTTGCCAGGGCTTATCCTGGGCAGAGGCAGACATCAACAGCGCTTTGGCCAGAGGCATCGCCCCAAGCTGGCCAGCCGGCCAGCGATGGGCCCCCGCCGTGGTGCTGCCAATCTGATTCATCCCCTGCTGCCAGCTGGCGCAGGGAAGCGTTAGTAATACCGGGCGCCACAAACTCAGAGCGGCACGAGCCAGGAGACGAACAAAAATAAACCCACTTACCACTTCCACCCCAACACACCCCCACAGCGCACGGTGCCGCCATAGGAAAGACAGCCGGGCAGGCAAGAAGCCCCGGGCTGAGTCCTGTCATCACATCGCGCCAGCATTCACATTAGCCCCCCGGAGACGCCACGCCAGGAGGTGATGCAGCCACAGTCCTTCCTCATCAGCTGGTGGCCCAGGGCCATCAGCGGAGTGTCTGCCTGCAAAACAGGTGTCAGCAGCTCAGCAAGGCCAGGGGCTGAACCAGGAGCCTGAACCCTATGCAAACAGTTCAAATGGCCATGAAAGGGTCCCGTTGCTCCTTGGAAACCTGAAACACAAATGATATGAAGTTCAACAAGGCCAAGTGCAAGGTCCTGCACGTGGGTCGGGGCAATCCCGAGCACAAGTACAGGTTGGGTGGAGAATGGATTGAGAGCAGCCTTGAGGAAAAGGACTTGGGAGTGCTGGTGGATGAGAAGCTCAACATGAGCCGGCAATGTGC